TTCTCTCGCTCTTCTTCTATTCTCTCTTAAGGCGGGGGCGGTGCCGCCGGAGCGCCACGAAACGCAACCCTTTCGCACGAAATGGACGTTGGACGCCAAAAACTGAGGGAAAATTGCGATTTTACTTTGTCCATTGCAACCCTTTCGCACGAAATGGACGTTGGACGTCAAAAACTGAGGAAAAGTTGCGACTTTGAAGCGTCCCGCGCAACCCTTTCGCACGAAATGGACGTTGGACGTCAAAAACTGAGGAAAAATTGCGACTTTGAGGTGTCCCGCGCAACCCTTACGCACGAAATGGACGTTGGACGTCAAAAACTGAGGAAAAATTGCGACTTTGAGGTGTCCCGCGCAACCCTTACGCACGAAATGGACGTTGGACGTCAAAAACTGAAGAAAAATTGCGACTTTACTTTGTCCATTGCGACCCTTTCGCACGAAATGGACGTTGGACGTCAAAAACTGAGGAAAAATTGCGATTTTACTTGGTCAATCGTAACCCTTTCGCACGAAATGGACGTTGGACGTCAAAAACTGAGGAAAAATTGCGATTTTATTTGGTCAATCGTAACCCTTTCGCACGAAATGGACGTTGGACGTCAAAAACTGAGGAAAAATTGCGATGGACGCTTTCGTTTCTGTACAAGTGTCTGTGTGTAAAAGCGTCTGTGTGTAAAAGCGTTTGTGTTTGAAAGCGTGTGTGCGTGTGTAAAAAGCATCTGCGTGTAAAAGCGTCCTGTGTAAAAGCCTTTGTGTGTCAACGCGTCTGTGTGTAAAAGCGTTTGTGTGTGAAAGCGTGTGTGCGTGTGTAAAACGTATCTGCGTGTAGAAGCGTCTGTGTGTAAAACCGTCTCTGTGTAAAAGCTTTTGTGTGTAAAAGCGGAAAGGTCATCGCCGATTCGCGGCTCGTGAGAGTTTGACTATTCTTCGTGAGCTTGCGGATGAGAATTCTGTGGTCTCTCTTGTTGCTCGCCCTTCCAGAGTTGGTAAACAAATGCTGGCTCAATTCTGGCTTCCCAAGCTTGACGCAAAGTTGGCAGCTCCAGCGTTGGCCCGACTGGACTTGCATTGTTTCCAGGTGATTTTGGCTTGGATCTCACTTTGCGGGTGGTACAACCTATGCAGAGTGAATAGACAGTGGAGCCGCTGGCTTCGTGCAAACCCGACCTTTCGATCTGTGGTGTCGGATGCGCGTTGGGCCAAGGATCCCGAGTTGCTGTCCATCCAACGGGAGGTGCGAGCCAACGAGGAGTGATCTGTTAAACGCGGAATTTTTGACGGGCTCGATGCTACAGGGACTGTCCGTGCATCGAGCGAAATGCAATGAAAAGGATGTCTTCCGTGCCATCATGATAAGCATTCGTTTCCGCGCTTTTGTTATCCTTTGTTTACAGTTTCACCGTACAGAGAAAGTCGTGCAACTAAGGAAGGTCATCCACTGCATCGCGGTACCGAGCTTATTTGGTGAATTCTATGAGATTTTCGATATGAAAACTCGTGAACATGTGAGATCATCGGCATTATGGTAAGGAGCATGTTTTTTCCGTATATGCTCGTACAGCAGTTTCTGTTACGCATGTCATGGAGGAGGGCTGGAAACAGCAGTGGTTCGTAGGCATCATGGCATCGAGTTTCGGCTTGCAACTCAGTGTCCGACTTGGAAGTAAGTACTCAGCTGGATCTTAGCGCACCTCTGGTTGAAGGCATCGTTGCATGCTGTAACCGTAGATTAAAACAATGATCTGTAGTTGTGTTTGCATTGTTGTCGTTCGCGTGGCTTGCGGATGAATGACCTGTAGTTGTGCATTGCGGATCTGTTAAATCGCTTGCGTCGTGTTCAAAGTAGGAAACGTTTGTTCGATCACAGTGGCAGCCATGACCACTAGCGCTCGTGAGTGGAGAGCGGCGCGCGAAGAAGATATCAGGAAGGCTTACGCCGACAAAGAATGTTGGACTGACCTTGACCGCATTACCTGTTGGCACCCTTACAGTTTCGGGTCCATAGAGGAGTGGCCATTGGACGCTGCCGTGATCTGCAAACCTACGGATCGAGCGTCGGTGCTGCTTGGCAGCATCAAAGCGGCCTGCAGCTTGGAAGACATTTGCCAGGCTCTGTCGGTGAAGGTCACCGTGGTGGTGACCATGTGCGCAAATGAAATGAAGATTCGAGGCGCCCCAAAGGATTGGGCGCAGTATTTCCAGCAAGAAAATGTCTATCACGTCAAGTGTCATTTGGAAGACACGACATTGAAGCCGCCGCACCGTTGGGAGGAAAGAATCCCTGACTTGGTAGCTTCTTGTTTGGAACAGTGGGAAATTGTTTGTGGCCAACTCTGGAAACAGTCCATGCTGGCAGTGACCAGGGGCGAATCCATGCACGTGCTCTTTCATTGCTTTGGAGGCATCAATCGAAGCGCTGGGGCTTTATGTGCTTGGCTCGTCGTGGGTTACAACTACCCTGCAGAGGATGCCGTCCAGTTGCTGCTTAAGAAAAGACCTTCCTTGCGCCCTTGGCACAATCGCCCCTATGTCTTGGAGGCTTTGTGGCAGCTGGAAGGTTTGCGGGCCGAGTGGCACATGGAACTGAGCGCGGCGTGCACAAATTGATTTGCACCACTGTTCGCCTGGAGAAACTGTTCGTGGCGAACGTGGTAGATCAGTAGCCAACTGTTGTTTGTCTGTAAAAAATGTTCGATCCTGTAGGGACATCGAAGAAATGGAGTGCAACAGGTGTTATCTATGCCATCATGCTATCGAACTTGTTTTTGTGGAATCATTCACTGCGTACACAAACGAATTTGCACCACTGTTCGCCTGAGGAAACTGTTCGTGGCGAACGTGTTACATGAGTAGCCAAGTGTTGCTTCTCTGTAAATATTGTTCGATCCTGTAGGGACATCGGAGAAATGCAGTGAAACAGGGTGTCGTCCAGGCCATCATGATATCGAACTTGTTTTGGGCCCGGAATCATTCACTGCGTTCACTTGTTGTTTTTTGGATACCAATTTTTAAACATTTCCAATCCAAAGCTGTGTTTGCGCACCTTTGTTTGGAAGTGAGGTCATACACGGCATCATGGTACCGGGCTTATTTGCTATGTCAAACTCCGGAGTCGTGTTTTCAGTTTCGAATTGAAAGAGCAGATGCTTCGCATTGGATTGTGTGTTATACATTTTTTTGCCTCAGATGTAAACGCATGGACCAGATGCTACATCTGCAGCATCATGGTACCGACTTTTGCTTGGAAGCAGCTTGTGGGAGCTGGAAGGCTTGCATACCGGGTGGCACTGAGTGCAACTGGCGCAAATTAATCTGTAGCACTGTTCGTCTGGAGAGACTGTTCGTGACGAACATGCAAAACCAGTATGTTCGTCTGGAGAGACTGTTCGTGACGAACATGCAAAACCAGTAGCCAACTGTTGTTTGTCTGTAAAGTTTTTTTTTTCCCATCCTGTAGGGACATCGGAGAAATGCAGTGAAACAGGTGTTATCCTTGCCATCATGATATCGAACTTGCTATCATTCACAGCATTCTTGCACGGAGTTCTAGTTTCTTACGGAGCCTTTGTTTGTGTACTTTTGCATTTTGTAGCATTTCCATTGCGACTATGTTTGCCCACCTTTGTTTGCAACTAAGGTCATCCACGGCATCATGGTGCCGAGCTTCTTTTGTATCTCAAAGGTCTTTGCGTGGAAATGCGTCTGACCTCTCTCTCTCTTTATCTCTTCCCCCTCTTTCTCTCTGTGGTTCCACGACACATGTCATCTGATGCCCTTTACCCAACATTCTCTTCTTGATCAATTTTACTTTTTTACATCATGCCTTTCCATAGCTCATTTAAAATTCACCAATAAAATTCACCAACTATTCACCGACTATCTTTTACGACTACCATACTCAGAGCTGCTTGAAACACATCTTTTTCGCTCTCGGGCCAACCGTCGTCTAGGTTTTCAAGAGTGCGGCATTCCTTTAACAAAGTACTTGATGATTTCATGAAATGTATTAGCTTGAACAATGGTGTTAGGCATCCTTCCTTCGAAAAAGGAACCACATTCATTTGGAACAATATAACATGATATTAAAACAACACAATTCCCTATATGATATTTTCGAAATATGTTAATAGTTTTACGCAAATAGCTTTCACACGTGTGTGGCATTCGTTTGAGAAAGTAGCCTTCAAGACACACAACAAACCTTGTGAAAGAGTATGGCATTGTTTTAAGTTCTTGTACTCAGGGAATTTTTCATACATACATATATATATATATACAGTATATATATATATAACAATCCCTTCGAACGATGGTTATGTTTCTGTAAGAAAGTGTAGTATGACTCCATGGAACGGTCATTTGAACATGAATAATATGCCTTGCAGAAAGTCAAGCATTATTTTGAAAAGGTATTCTTCAATAAGCAGTTGTTTTTAAAAGAGACCATTGTTTTCTTGAGGGCAGTGCAGCATGCCTTTATGCAAGTTTCCTTGAAAAAGATGCAATATTGTTTTTTCCCTTTGGTGACACTCCGCGCTTAAAAAAACAAATGCACTCTTTGGTCCTTGCGAATCCGGTAGACCGAACGGTGCAGCAGGCAGGGAAACACAGGAACAGAGAAAAACCCAAAAGAAACATTAGAAACACACACAAAAAAAAACATATTCACATATTGGAAAAACAAATTACTTCCAGACTCTTTGGAGAGAGGGAGGGGGTCTAGACGAAAGTTCCTATTAAAACAAAAAATAAAAACATAGTTTTTCCATGTTTTATTTTTTTCCCAAGGTTTTTTTTTTTTAAAGTTTCGTCCTCCTCCAAAAAGTATGGAAGTAATTTGTGGGGTCGCCCTTCAAAGAGTATGCAAGCAATTATTAGGGGCCTGTGTCAGATTCTTGTGTAAGAAAGCACCTGGGACTGCAGCAGAACCTCTTAAAATATTGTCTTAAATCATGGGAAAACTGCACTCCCAGGGAGTCCCGTTCTGAAAAAAACTCGAGGTCCTAGCAGATGTCGGCTTGCTCATACTCGACATGACGATAGGAAAGCTGGCCGAATCGAATTGTGTGGGAATTGATTTGAACTTGTGTTGGGTCAACAAGGAGATGAGTCGAGATCCAGTCGTCACCCGTATTTTTGGGACGAGTCAAGGTGTACTGTACAAATCATGTTGGATGTAATTGACTTGCTTTCATCGGCCACTTTCTGTCTCAAAATGCAGGAAACTCTCCAAAAATTGGTTTCCTACGAATGTTTCGATTAGCACGATTATTCAGTGGCTCGGCTGATGGTCACGGCTGGAAGACCCCTTACTTTTGCAGGTGTGATTAATGAGATGGAGGTAGAACTGGGGGGTACCAGGAGAGGTGTTCAGTGTTGCCCACTGACACGAACCATTCTCAAGATATACTCAAGCTTTGACTCAAGACTAATCAGTCACCAAGGCTATGTGATGAATCTTTGTGCATATCATGGCTTCACAGCACGTTCTCCTCAAACTGCTTCCAAAGCCAGCTTCCATCATGGCTTGCAGCACGTTTGTGCCTGCACTGACGTGGCTGAGGATTTGTGCGAGTGGTGGGCATGTTTCCGGAGCTGCAATTCTTGGTCAAAGGGTTCATTTCATCTTTCTCGGCAGTGTTCTGGGGCTCCATTCTGATGTGGGCAGCAACTTGGATTCCATATCCTGGATCCGCTGGATCAGGATCGCAAAGCACCGCAAAGCACCGCAAAGCACCGCAATGCGGTGCAATTTGCATGGGATTCGAATTTGTACGGTAGCTTTCAGCCGTGAATCTAAGGTAATCCTCATGTGGGCCATCATCGCGGTATATTGGATCCACCCAACCCACAAGCTGATTATCGCTGAGAAGGTGGAGGATAGCTGTGAACCGCAGGGCCTCGATGCATGGCGTGGCGTTTGGTATTCAGCAACTTGGATGGGAGCATAGCCTGGCCATGGCAACTTGTCCACGCGAGTTCACTTCATACCCTGATCCCAACATATCCCAACCAAGCAAAGTTCAGATGAACATTGATGAACATTGACTAAGGTGATCACCCTCACACAGACGGTGGTTTTTGGTGATAGTTGGGGCACCACAGCCATCGATGCTTGCCAAAATGATCCGAAATGTGGTTTTGGACGAGGGACTTTGAGGGATTGAGCCCGCCCACATGACAAGACATGACAAGACTCATTGACTCATTGCACATGATTCCAGTGTTGTGCCGATTTGATGCAATTGATCCGATTTCTGATGATATCCAAGCACAGCTCAGGAGATTATCAAAAGGGAACCGATAACTCTCTTCTTTTTTGCCGCGCGCTGAGCAGAAGTCTGTCCAGTTTGTTGGTGGTTTGTTGTCTGAGCAGAAGGGCACACACACACAGCCATTGGAATGCCTCTAACAAAATCAAACAAAGGCATTCCCGTATTCGCATCAGATGAGGGAACGCAGATAATTACATAGAGCATGTTCGCTCCAACCCGGACGTTCGAACACCACTTATCTTCATGAGGGGATCAAATCCGCCACCTCTGAACAATATGTTGAATGGGATATTAACTTCAACTTGTCTTCATAAGGGATCAAATCGGGTATTGACTTCAACTTATGTTCAGGAGATCAAATACAGCACGGTCAAACGTCAGGGTTGCAGCGAACATGTTTAAATCAGATATCTCAGATATTTTTTTTTTTGGGGGGGGACGCTGTGCAATGTTTTCTGATGGCTCCTGGGACACCAGATTCATGTCTCAGAACCTGCTGACCACTTTTTGGTGATGTCTTGGGTTGGGATGGCTTCCAACCCTAAGCATTAAGGGGGTGTGCCAACTGTACGGTTTTGGGACTGCTTGCTAACAAAGGCGTTACCAACACGAAATTAAAGACAGCTTAGCGCACCAGCAAACAATAGCGAAACCATTTCGCGCCAAAAACAGACTAGAGACTACTAGCAGCGTGCTAGCAGCTTCTTGAAGGCATTTAGTTCTGCTGTTGGCTCGTCCTGTGGTTCCAGGATGTTCTAGCTTTGGGTGTCCGATGGGCCGGGGTGTTTTGGTCCCCTCTCTCCTTCCGCTGCTCCCCTGCTCGATCAGTTCCTAGCTTTATACTATTTTGGTCAGAGAGGGACCATTCGTTTGAGGCGGGTTTTGTTTCGTCCAATTTTTCGAAGATTGAAGATGGAGACCGGAGAGAATCTTTTACTCTTCAGTCCTTGGTCCTTGACGTCCTTCAGTTCTTGGGCTTTCTTGGGCTTTTCAAACTCTTTTCTTGACCGCATCCATTGTATTGTGGCAGAATGCTACCACCGCATGTCTTGTGGAGGCTCGACCATCCCCCACCTTTCCCACAAATTCTGACGCGAAGAGCAACATCAGCTCCCAATGGCGCTTCATCAACACAAGCCCACTCAACACAGCATGAGTTGGAGTGCAAAACAAGCCATTGTGTCACTTATGTGACACTTGTCACTCAATCGAGGGCCACGTCTGCAAATCGGTAAAACACACTAAAACACAAGTTTTGATCAAAGATGTCCCAAGCTTGGCTCAAGGCCGGGATGTACGGTACCATCACCCTTGGGGTGCTGTCTCTTGATTGCAAGCTTCGTGCTCCTGCTTTTGTGCTCCTGCTTTTGGTCCTATCGGACTTGTGAAGCTTGCGCAATCTGTGCAAGAATACTGTGAGTGTACTTGCAATACCTTGCAACGTTTCAACACATTTTAAGCGTAATTCCTGAGTGCAGTTGGAGTGGCACCTTTCCAGTCTCAAACAAGGAACCTGATCGTCGCTGCCATCGTTGACAGCGGCGCTCAAGCCCGGGAGGAGGCCTTGGAAGCCAAAAGGAGCGCAACTTTGTTCGCCTTCCGGAAATGGATCTGCAAAATGTATCAACATGTCACAAAACGTCAGATGTAGCTTTCACATGCTTTCACATGCTTTCACATGCTTTCACGATGACTGCTTTCATTATTCATGCAAATGGAGTGGCCTCAGGAGAAAGCTGCGAGCAGAAGAGATGAAGCAGAAGGAGCGGCAGAAGAATCGATTGCTGGAGATTTGTCAAGTTCTAGATGACGATGTGGCTTGGCCCCAACGAAGCGGAACCGTGTGGCTCTACTGACTAGTTGGCTAGTTGCAAGCATTGCGCGCTGTGGAATCCATTGTTCAGATGTGTTCAGATGTGTTCAGATGTGTTCAGATGTGTTCAGATGTGTTCAGATGTGTTCAGATGTGTTCAGATGTGTTCAGATCATGGCGGCTAGAATCGCTTAGAATAGCTGGATATCAGGGTATTATCAGGTTATTGCAGGCATTCTATCACTAACGCATCGAACTTGGCATGAAAAGGACGGAGATTTAGCGCAGTCTCCGAGGAAAGTGGCTCACTTTCCTTTGTGACCTGGCAGCGCTTCCAACTGGAAGTTCGCCGCGCTTCCAAGGGAGTAATACATTCAATACAGCACAGCTTGCCGTGAATGCTGTTGGTATCTGTTGGTCATTGTTAGTCTAGAGATGTGGCTGTTTGCTATTGAGCTGCTATTGCATCTATGGCTAAGCTGGCGCGCTTTGCTCACCACTTGACAAGGAAGAGCTCCTTAATGGCTTTGATAAGAATACCGAGTTTAGGAATGCAATGAAGGACAGTGTGGCTGTTGCAATGGCATTCATTTGCGGAGTCTCTGCACAAATGCCGCAGGACTACAACATCAATCGCCAAGAGTTGGATGTGCTCTTCAGAGTATTTGACGAAACAGGAGAAGGCTGCCAACACATCCAGCAAGTGTCTCCCTGGTAGGTGTTTTCATGACCACCGGAAAACACTGAAGTCGGCTGCGAGCTTTTCTGTTCTCCCTTGTCCCTTATCCCGCCACGCTATGCGCAAGGCGTGCTCGACTACCAGGAATTTTTCAACCTCATAGCACCATGGCAACAACACCAGGCATCCATCATGAGACAATGTCTGAGAAAGGTTTCAAACAGGTAACCCGTTACACGGCTGATGAATGTCCAGCAGTTGTCCAGCTGAGTCAGCCAAGGACAGCGCACGGGAGCAGGCCTCGCAGCAGGCCTTTTGTCGGAGGGAAGGGTTCTGGACTTTTCTAACTTTTCTGATTTGCAGCTATATACTTTTTCGGCACTCTGCTGGTTGGTGCTGTTGCCAGTGCTTCAGCTCCAGAATTTCCTGACGCAGGTTTTGACTTTCGTCCGCTTTGCCGTCATGGACCTGAGGAAGCAGATGGAAGCACAACACTTCACCTTGAGAAGTCACACAGCTTGCAATGTGATTCAAGCTTTGCAAACAATACTTGAGAATTTCGGCATGGCTTTCCGGTTCCTCTGACTACACATGCAGGGCCAGGTGAAAGCAGGCCAAATTGTAACGAACTCAAGTCAAGCGACTTCGGGAAAAAATTGGACAGCTTTAGAAGCTCCACCCGCATCATGGTGAATATTTGTGGGAAGTGTGGTTGCGCTTAGACTGTGAGTTTAACTTTGAAAGCCTGCAAGGTGAGTTAGAGGCGATCAAAGAGATGGTGCAGTTATCTGAGCAGTCCGTGAACGAGCGCATGTGTGTGGGATCCAAGTTGGCCCCGAGCATGGTTTCATATCATTCTAATGTCCGGGTTGAACTTGAATGAAAACTTGCAAAACAGATGGAAAAACAATATTCACGTGCAAGAATGCACTAACATAATTTAATCTAACAGTCTAATATCATATTTACAAATAAATAAATAAATGAACTTAAATGAACAAACAAAATACATAGATAAAAAAATAAATAAATATATACATATTCACACACACATATATATATATATAAGAGACATACTCCAGATTTCTCACGTGTGTGAATAAGAGTGACCTTTGTGCATGATCGTGTAAAACATAAACACATACCGTCTTGCTGTATACCGTACACACAGCCTGACAAAAAGTGGCCAGCGTTTCTGGTGATTTGCTTTCGGCGTCGCCCAGGTCGCTTCTTTGGAGAAGCACCCCCTCCCCGGAGGCAAAGTCCAGGTGCTGCTAAAAGAGTACCAGTAAGCTTCTCGCTTGCACGATGGTCCTTGTTGTGAGTCGGAGATGCTGGAAGATGTGGATGCTGGCATGGGAGTTCTACAAGTGATATGAGAAATGGTTCTTATTTAATCTTATTATTATATAGATCTATATAGAGAGAGATGGTTTGCAGCGCTTTCACAAGGGTCGCGATTTGAGCCAATGGTATCCACAGCAGACAACCGCAGTGAGATCCCCTGAAGGGTGGGCCAGGGATGGCCAGGCCTTCAAGGAGGATGTTGGTTTTATTTTTGGCACTGTAAAGTTGATAGAAAGCTGAGGTCCTAGCAGCAGTAGTGTTGGCAGCGAGCATCCAAGCCGCACTAAGGGACCATAGTGACCCAAGTGCATCTTTGCAAGGGTCCCTACTTAGCTACTTGTGACCCGAGCAAATCGCTCAGGATCCCCGGGTTCCTTTCGAATTCCAAAGGAGAAAGTTTGCAAGTCAGGCAATCGATTCCCAAACTTATCATATTACGAATGTGGCACGTCCAATCGTGAGTCGTCAAAATACTGGTAGCTGCCCATAGGGCTAGACAGCGAGGGAGACAGAGAATGATTTACACACATATATATATATAATTGATTATATATATATGTATATACATTTTTTTATCCATATCCATATGCATATGCGTATCCACACACACGTGTATATATGTATATATATAACTATATATAATTATTTGTATGTATGTATGTATGTATGTATGTGTGTATATATACATATATATATACATATATATATGTACGCATACATGCATACAGTATATACATGCATAATAGACGAACTCACACAAGCCAGTTGCCAAGATGCAAGAGAGACTGGGATTGTGCAGAGAAATGAGCTGAGGAAGCCGCCTCTGACATCACCCCGTCAAGGAGCGCTTGGAATTCCACTGCATTTCCATTGCTTATGTCGAAAGGAATGAGTCAATGGCATAGTTGAATATCCAAAGAGAGCGAGAGAGCTATATATATATATATATGTATATGTATATGTATATATATATACATATGTATATTATATATATATGCACGTACAAAAAATTGCCTACATTGTAAATATGTCTGTAGACTAAACCCCAGTCAAACTGTTTTCAGCACATGTTTTTTGTCGTCTGGTGTGCCGTTGCACAGATGGTAGGTTCTGCGAAGGCTGCAGCGAAGCCAGCTGCCAAGCAAGCGGCCAGTCCAGGGACAAAGCCTCCAGCACCGGTCCAAAGGCGAGCGGCAGTCCATGATGAGACTGAAATTCACTGAGTCCACAGTGATCTCTTTAAAACTAAATGGGATGCTATGAATACTATATTTATGTTGATGCTTGAGGGAAGCATTTTGACCAGCCACCGCAGTATTTCTTGGTCACACCGTGTTTCTCCATGGATCTCCCCTGTGAAATGGTTGCTTTAGTTATATTTTTGATCAACCCCCCCAATAAATTGGTTGAACTTATCATCCCCCACACACGGAGATAGATAGATAGATGATAGATATATGGATGGATGGATGGATGGATGGATGGATGGATGGATGGACAGACAGACAGACAGACAGACAGACAGATAGATGTGTATATATATATATTTATGTATATATATGTATATATACCGTATAATTATGTCTAATTACCGTATTTCATCAGTGATCCATCCTGCGGAGGCCTGGAACTGGATCCTGGCACCCCACAAGCGATTTGCTGCCACCAGCTCCGGTTGCTCCGCTACAGCAGCTGCTGAAGACCAACCGCGAGTTGCTCAAAGGCGGCGCTTCGTAGACGTTTCTGGTTGGTCATGAAATGCGGAAAATGGGTATACCCCAGAATGGCTAGAAAAGAGTGGGAAAATGGTGATAAACCATCGGATTTTAGGGGACCTTTTGTTTTTCAGACACATCCACATATAAACAAAGATTGATTGATGAACACTGATATGTAAGATGTAGAGGGCACAGTCAAAAAAATAATAGATGTAGCCATTCATATGTCTTTCGTAATTTATCATGCCAGGCATACCGTCTGGGGCTAAAGCTGGTGACGATACCTAGCTTTTTCCAATGCACTGCTGTTCAGGTATGAAGAAGTTGCTGGATGCAAGCAACCTGGAGACAGAGACTAGGTCCTGACTAGGTCCTGACTAGGTCCAATGGGTCCAATGGAGGGAGTACAAAGGTAGACATTTCGCACAGAACGCTGGGTCATGATGAGTTGCTGTCGCTTTGGCAAGCTGCTTTGCTTGCTGCACATGCCCAGTCTTTTCCACTGAGCAGTTCAGCATCAACATCAAGGCTACGCTGGTGCGGATACAGACCATAATGCACACCCACAACTGTACTCACGGAGAGATATACATGTTATATACTATTTTATGCGACATCTCCATGTATATATATATATATAATTATATGTATATAGAAATATGTTTATGTATACTGATTTATTTATGTATTTATTTAAGACACTTGTTTATATATGTATGTATATATATATTATTCATAACTATTTCAATGGGAAGTTTAGGACCCTAAACTGGAGGTACTGTGCCATAAAAGCTCATATTTTGTGCGGATATTCCTTTACATAGACCTTGCATAGGCATTATATATGGTACGTACCTCCAATTTACATTCCTCAAATGGCCATTGACTATTTGTATGCACCGCTGTAAAATCACTTTCACTCTTGTAGTTAAAGACCTCTAAATGAAATGTCTGTCTAGCTGGCAATCTGTGGTTACAACACTAACATGCGTGTTTGGAGCATTTCGAGGCTATTTCGTGCTTGTGCCGCTGAAACAAAGAAGATGCAGCCAACGAACCCGAATGCAGTCACCTAGAACCCTCTTGTGAAACAAACTATTATTTGAACAGTCTTGTACATTTTCGCCCTATTACCGTACCAGTGCACTGTAGACTGTGGAATGTGGAACGGGGTGACTTTCAGTCGCGTAGCGTGAAGACAAGTGGAGTGTTGAGTGGGGATTGTAGTGCTTAGAGTGTGAAGTGGGGAATGTGGAGTGTAAAGTGTAAAGTGTGGGGTGTAAAGTGTGAAGTGTAGAGTGTCGAGTGTAAAGTGGAAAGTGTAAAGTTTTAAAGTGTAGAGTGCGGAGTGTAAAGCGTGAAGTGTAAAGTGTGGAGTGTGGAGTGTAAAATGTAAAGTGTGGAGTGCAGAGTGTGGAGTGCAAAGTGTGGAGTGTAAAGCGCGGAGTGTGGAGGGCAAAGTGTGAAGTGTAAGCTGAAAAGTGTAGAGTGTGGAGTGTAAAGTGTGAAGTGTGGAGTGTATAGGTGGAGTGTAAAGAGTTAAGTGTGGAGTGTGGAGTGCAAAGTGTGGAGCATAAAGTGTAAAGTGTGGTGTAAAGATGAGTAAAGTGTAAAGTGTGGAGTGGTGGAGTGTGGAGTGGAAAGTGGAAAGTGTAGAGTGCGGAGTGTGCAGTGTAAAGTGTAGGGTGGCCCAAATACTGCGCCAGCCACGCAATATGACATTCCACACTCCACAGATCTGCACCAGAATGCCGCCTTTTCCACGCAAATAAATCGCACTCTCAGTACGACATTGTGATTCACAAAAAATACGCAATACGACACGTCTAGAGTGCTGCGCCTGCCACGCAAAAATGAACATGGACACGTCCAAAGTGCTGCACATGCCACGAAACATGAAAGTCATCGCCCGAAAACCTTGCAAAAGTATTGCACCTGTCACACAAAACGACCCTCGACACCATCTGCAGATACGTGAGAATGTCACGACCTGCCACGCCTGCCACGCAAAACGACATTAGAACCTGTTTGGAAGCCTTGGAAAGGAAAGGTTTTGCAGCTTCCCCCATGGTCGTCGTAGACACGGCGATGCCACCAAAAAAACAGAGCGTCGAGACGAGACATGTTGGAAGCCTCAGAATAAGCATTTCGTGCGAGGATTCCTCAAATTTTCACACTTTGTAGCTACAAAATCGACGTTTTCCTACGAGTTTTCTCATGAACCTCAACATTTGCTACCTCAAAATCGATATTTCATGCGAGGCTTCCCTCAATTTTCATCACATGCCCTGACAATGCGATTCGCAGAAAACACGCAGCACGACACGCCTGAAGTGCTGCGCCTGCCACGCGACATGACAATGGAGGTCTCCAAAGTGCAGCGCCGGCCATGAAAACTGCAACGCATCTTCTGAAAACGACGCGAAAGTATTGCGCCTGCCACACACAACAACTTTCGACACGTCATAAAACATGTTGGAATGTCACAAAGTGCCACGCCTGCCATGCGAAACGAGGCTACGCGACGTCTGAAACATCCAAAAGTGACCACTGTTGCAAGACTCGCCATAGGCACGGCCATACGGCCCTCACGCTCACCCGAACAGTTGCGAACGGTTGCGGACGGTTGCGAACGGTTGCGAATGTAAACGCAACGTCGAACGAACACACCCTCAACCCCCAGACCCCCAGAGTGAAACGGGAACCCTTGCTACGCATTCGGGAAAATTTGAGGGCCGTTTCGGATATTTTTGCGGGTTCATACCCTGTCTGAGGATGCAGCCCAAACTGCCGGTCGGAGCTTGTCTCCCAGAAATTCAGAGGCACAGCGCTGGTTTTTGCAACTATTTGATCAGCATTGATCAGCTATCTGCTGAGATTAGGTGCAGATGGCATGACGTGCTCCTGATGCATTCTCTTCAGGATGCATGTGCGCAGAGGTATGAATATACTATAGGGTGACGTCCTCACTGGCTTACTAACTTGAAAGAACAAATATATAGAACCTAAACAAACATCACCGAATGAAGAACTGGGCTGACAGATGAATCATTATAGAATATTATAGATTGATGTCAACTAAAGCAAGAGATGAGTGGATACAAAGACAAACAATGACGATGTAGATATGTTTAGTATTGTTTAGTGTAATGTAATGTACGTACGTGTAAATTACGTGTATATATTATATAAATGTCAGTTTCAATCTAAGCGACATTGTGATGTAA